TGATTAGCTCACTGCAGTTAAAGACAGATGAACGCCAGAAGTTTTACAGTTTCTTAGTAACTGAATGTTAGACTGAGTGCTGTAGCAGCTTATAAAACAACAAAGGCATCTCAAAAAAATGCATTCACGTGTTATTCAACAATGAACTTTGAGGCCAAGATGAGAAAAATGCATGGAGTAGATTTAGCTGAGTTTTGCCTGGCATTTAATTGTCTCCATGTCTATATATCCTATTAGTACACTTTTTAGTACATTTCAATGTCCCTCAACAGAAATGAAACTGGATTTTTAAAACTGCAACCTAGTTAGACAACATATGCAGCAAGTTTAAAATATAAGAAGGTGGTTACAAAGGAATCCTTATCCTGAGATCTATACCCCAACAACCTAACTTTGCTATACATAAATGTTAGCAGTCAACATTTCACAGGTTCTTCCTAGACATTCTGCTAAGTACCCTTCATGTGTTACTTAGTTTAATCTTCACAACTACCATATGAGATAAGAACTATTATCTTCATTTTATGGATGAGAAAACTGACAGACAATAATTGTAGCCATGAAATTTGTGCATATAACTAAGAAAACCGATGCAGAATGTTGTATACAACTCTGCCGCATGGGTCTGCCTTTCTTACACATATGTGAGTGTTAAAAGGTATATATGACCAAGAAGCAGAAGCAGAAGCTAAGTTCTGGGAATTCACTTAGGTCAGTGATAGTATACCTTTTAGAGACCAAATGCCAAAAAAAATAAAAACCCACTTTTTTATCTCAAAGTGCCGACACTACAATTAAACCTGAATACTGTGCTTCTAATTTAGAAAAAACAACTCATACATTAACACCTTTTGTCTTAAAAGAAAAACACGGGCCAAGGATTTAGCCCGGTGGCACTGCGCCTCCCTCACAAGCACAAGGTCCTGAGTTCGATCCCCAGGACCAAAAAAAAAAAAAGAAAAGAAAAAAAAAACACAGCAACATGTGTTCCATGGCTTCACCACCACGGATTTAGGTTAATGATAAAATTAAAGCTTAATTATTAAAACACACGGAAATTCCCAGGCAGTTTGTTTCATTCTCAAAGGCCTGAGCCATTGATCGTTGGCCTAGATGGAAGATGCTCTTTCCTCCACTGAAAATGAAAGCTATACAGCCAGAATTTGAAGGCCACTGCCAGGAGAAAGCTTAATCTCAATAAAACATATGCATACCTGGATTCCTGAGCTTCGATGAAAAGGACCCATAATGATCACCCATTTCTTTACATTTACAGTGAAATTATAAGGAAGCAAAATGATGTGAAACACCCAAGATTAAACAAGGTAGTACATTACACATTAAAAAAAATCAGATAAAATAAGAACCACCATGACATGATATACAAATATATTGCAATTGGCCATAAGGATATACTAAAGATGATACAAGGATGAAAACTCAGGCCTTAAAGATGAGCCTCCCACTGATGGCCAACAGGTTATGTATCAGACAGCTTTCCTATCTCTGGGACACAATATCTAATATTCATGACTTAAAGGAGGAGAGGTCTAATTTGGTTCACTGTTTCAGGGGATTCAGTCCAAGGTTGACTGGCTCTATAGGAAAAATATCATGGTGGAAGAACAAGGCAGAGCAAAACTACTTCATTCATGGTGGCCTGGAAGCAGAGCAGGGGAACAGTGGCAGAAAGAAAGGGAAAAGAGACCTTATTTAATAACAAGTCACACCTCTATGATCTACCCAGACCAACTCAAAGGTGTGCTTTACTAATCTTGAATATTTATTAATCCAATCAAGTTGACATATCATGATTAATGATCACAATCAATGACTTAGTTCCCATCCTGGGGCTTAGATACTTGTGGACCAGTATCTCTGGGATCGCTATAGCTTCTTATCTTTTACTTATATACTTACTAAAAATACTTAAATAGTACTAAGTATGTGATAGGTCCTATCTAAAGCATTTTACAAGGACTAACTTATTTAAGCATCTAGGTAACATTGTGAGGTGGGTGCTTTGGTTATCCCTATTTTACACATGTAGAAGCTGAGAGGAAGTAATTTGTCCAGTGTCACAAAACTAGTAATAGGTAATTGAAGAGACTAGCTTAAGACTCTTCATTCTTAATCACCATGCTATGTAAAAACAATCTGTGGGGGCCAGGGATTTAGCTCAGTGGTTCCACCGCCTGCCTCGAAAGCCCAAGGTCCTGAGTTCGATCCCTGGTACAAAAAAAAAACAAAAAACGATCTATGGAATGGGCAAGGGTAAGAATTTGGTCACTCACATTTAACTTGGTTGTCATATATTTGTGAAGTCTTACTAGACTGGCAACAAAATATTATAGTTTTGAAATTTCCATATGAAAATAATTAAATACTATAAAATGAACACTAGAGACTTGGAGTCAAATTACTAGTCTTTGATTTTAAAAAGTATGTATGGAAATTGTTATGGCCTGTGTCTAGATGTCCCCCTAAAGCCTCATGCAGTCAGAGGGACTTTTCAGAAGTGGCTGGATCTATAGTGTGCGATGCTGAGATTGATTCATGGTGCAATGCTAGGATTAAGGCTGTGTTACCTGTCCTAAGGGTGAGTAGCCTATACAAGACATGAGGGACAGAAAGAGGTTCATCACTTTTCACTTGCTCGCTGCTTGCTGTTTTCTGCATGCCCTGCTTTGCCATGGACTATTTCTCCTCTGTGATGCCCCTCTGCGATGCCACCCTGCCTTGGAGCCAGCAGATTATGGACTGAAACCTCTACAAATTGTGAGCCAAAATAGACTTTTCCTCCCCTAACTTGGGTGTCAAGTATTTTGTCTCAGCAATAAGGAGAGTAATTAAGACAGAAATTCACACACACACAAATATTTATAAAAACATACACATATAATTGATAATTATATATAAATAATAGCACAAATATGAAGTCTGATTTGTTCAACTGTAAAATTTGCTCATGAACAGAGAAACAAAATCACAACCTAAACTCCTATGGATTAACTTATATATCTTACGTTGTTGGACTGGGTAATCCTTGGTTTGAAAAGCCCTTGTACATAAGATGATAGCTGTGAGCAAGACAAGCTTTTATGAATAGTGCAGGCTTGCAGAATGGAATGACGTTGAAATCTAAAGATGTTCTAGTAGGAAAAGATGAGCTGCTGAAATACGGTCTAATTAAAAAGCAAAAGGATCATTAATTCAACACTGTTTTGTCTACTTTTCATTCATTATGTATTTTACAGTTAGCATCTGGCAGCTCCTTTTAACCAGAGACATACAAATCCAAATTAATGTTGGCTAGAAAACTGTATTTCTTCCAGATGAAATCTCAAAGGTACTTTGATTCTACAGGGACTTCAATTAAAGAAGATCAGAAATATCGAGGCAGTCAATAGATCTATTAGAAATTCTTGTATATTTAGAGAAAGGTTGTTTGACCATTGAGACATAAGTAGAGGAAATGTACCAACCACATGATCCCATTCATCACATATTTATGAAGTATCTACCATTTGCCTGTAATATAGGCATAATAATGCCCTTGAGAGACAGATTTTGACTTCATGGAACCTAGGGCCCAGCTGGGGAAATGGACAAATAGTAGATATATAATTACAGGGACTAGTGATATAAAGAAAAGAGTCCTTTGAGAGTACATAGGTAAAGAAACTGGCCTAGATCTGAGGTTGTGGAGAGAGGAGTTTGGTATGGATGTTCAAAGAAGTGAAGGAGAAAGAATCCATAGAGAAAAACAAGAATTTTTAAAAATAGTGTGTATAAATGTCCTGTAGTTGAAAGAGCACAATATATTCAAGACTTGAAAGATGTTTCACTCTGATGGAGCTGTAGGGAAGTAGAATAGGAGGTCGGGGAGGTAAGAAGTAGTGGCAAATTAGTCAAATACAAACCATGTGGGAACTTGTAGATTCCATTAAGGATGAGGATTTTTATCCTCAAATCAATGAGACAACACAGTTGTGGAATAGCACAGTAAAATACATTACCAAGGAACTATACTTTTCACAGGTACAAAAGGTGCTGCTGGCCTGTTCAATTAAATCTAGCCTTTTGAAGTCGTGCAAAATACAAACATTCCTCATCACATGAGGGGATCTAGATCAAAGTAAGGCATATCACAAACATAACTAGATCAAGGCAAGTAGCCTGTGGCCTTCCCCTTTCTGATTATTCAACTCCCCACACTCTTCAAGCATCACTTTCAAATTCACAACCATGACAATGACTTACTTTGGACAGGAAGTGAGTAGTTGATCTGATTTCTTGAGGAAACAAAAGGAAACAAGGACAGTTATAGGAGCATCATCCAAACTACAAATAACATAAAGCCAAAATGAGCTTTTATTCATTCTCTTAACAATTTGCCAATGTAAAGATGGTGGATAAGCCACATTGCTGGATCTTGGTTTCTTGTCCTTTGTATTTTATAATAGCCTTAAGAAGGCCTTACTTTTTAAGAAACTCAAATCATTGCCTCATAGGTATGGTAAAGGTATACTGTTTTTGAAAAACAAAGAGATATTTAGTAATATAAATATTTTATCAAATAAGATCCCATAATATCAACAGAGTAAATCATAAACTATGTATTAGTTTTTGAATGTATGTGAGATTAAAAATAACTATGTCTTTCTCGAGATTATAAATTCCTATGATCTTCATGTCTTCATATTCAGCTACTATTCTGATTAATAGTCTTTAAATTTGATTTAAGGTCTACCCTGAACTTCATTGTAGGAGACTTTGCCAAGGCAAGCATGCATGGGGAATTACCCAGTGACATTCCATCAGTTAATACATGGATAAATTCTCCAATAATTGGACACATTCTTTCATTTTTATCAGAAGATTCTTTGAGATTGCTGTTTTCTCTCCTAGCCATAGTCATGTTGACATTGCTCTAAGTGTGCAAATTGCTTCTGCAGTCATTTTATTTGTAATAGTGCTTTGTGTGTTGTGTCTCCTAGCTCTACATACAAACTACCACACTTACAATCTCCATGAACCTAAGTGCATCAGTGGCGCTGGGAATGCTATACATGCCGAAAGTATACATCATCATTTTCCACCCTGAACTCAATGTCCAGAAACGGAAGCGAAGCTTCAAGGCAGTAGTCACAGCAGCCACCATGTCGTCTCGGCTGTCACACAAACCTAGTGACAGACCCAACGGTGAGGCAAAGACAGAACTCTGTGAAAATGTAGACCCAAACAGTAAGTAACTCTCCTTTCTTTTCATCTTACCATCCTGCATCAGGAAGCTTCAGATATGTGTTACCTCTCCTGGAGAAATAATATAGTCATTCTTGTCTTATTGAGTTGTCCTGGTGATTGAATGGTAGCTTTTGCTCTTCTGAGTTTGACTCATTTCTTCCACTATTTTTGTTTTGCTTCATGTTGGTTAAAAAAAAAAAGCATTTAGAAGTTCAGCTCCGGAACTCTGAAGCCTCCCCCTTACCTTATTTATTGCTCTTTGCTACCAAACCTCCCAATTGACATAAACAAATCTCTCGGGTTGCCCTCCTTTCTTGCATCTTTCCTGCTAAAGAAACAACTTCCTGTTAAGAGAAACAATTTCTTGCTAGGGAAACTTCCAAAGCTAATGAACTATAACAGTAGAAATGTAAGTAGAATATTTAAGAACTTTTGAAGCATAATTTTCTACTGGTATATGAATATAGAGAAAGTTTTTACTGAGCCAGTCTTCTAGAAACAAAAATATCCAATATTTGGATAAAGTTGTCCAGCTGTCATTTATGTACATAGACCCTAGTGACATCACCATGTGAGGAAAAATGTCCCATGCCATTGCGGAAGAGATTCACTCTATAAAAGATAGAACTCTAGAGGTAGGATTAAGGAAGAGATGTTAGAGTTGCAATGCTATGTGGCATATCTGCAACCCTCCAGTAGCTTTCAGTCATACCTGCAAATGATCCCAATTAAATGGGGATAGAGACATCACTTTGTAAAACACCCAGTCCCAAGCTCAGAGGCTACATGTACATATTTCTCAACAGCTACTTTTACTAACAATATGGTGGTAAGAGTGAATTTCAGATTATAAACACACAGTTTCAGGATTTATTTTCCAGAAATATATTTGTCAATTCCATGTAGAATGAGAGGTTTCAGTGTTCATGATAATTCCTGTTTTTAAGACAGAAGCAGTTTTGTCCATGAAGTCATTAACAACATACTGTTTTTCCATTATGAAGTGATCTTATTATAGCAAAAGGCTTAGTGCCACACAGAAGTAAGAGAGACTACCTGGGTTTAGTCTTAACACTATGCAAAGACACATGATCTTAGTTCATCTCCATTTATAAATAATTCATCGAACAAATGACATGAAGTACTTTCAAAATAAGTGGACCAAGTAGAAGGTTAACATAGCAGGTTTCACTTTGATGTTTCAATAGAATAGATTCCAGGGCAAGGCAAAAGGGAAACAATTCATCTCCTTGAGACAAAGGAGAAACAGAATGAATGTGTAGGCTCTGCTTTCACCAGACCAACCAGTTCATTGAAAGGAAGCGAAGAGGATGGTGAAGTGCTATGGCATTCAGTGTGATGTAGGAAGAGGCCTTGGGTGGAGACACCCCTGAGTTCAAATCCAAGGCATTCGCCTTATCAACTGTGTGACTTGGAGAGTGACTGAACTTTTCTAAATCTCAGGATCTTCATATACAAAACGGAAGTAATAATACCTGTGTCAGAAGTGTGTCACAAAATAGTGTATCAATGAAATGCTAACTCCTTCTATTCCTGAAGATGCAAAAAGCTTTGTTTAAAAGTACATTTCAGTGTGACTGCTTAAGTAGATATTACAATACAGTTAAAAACAGACTGAACACCATGAGGGACATGAAACTGAATCCAAAAAAGGATTTCTACTATCATATGTATGCATATATTTATGCATGTACCTGTAATGATAAATATCCTGATACATTTATACTTCTGTAGTTTTTTTCATTGTAGGATCTCATGTCAAAGTTGCAGTTTTGTAGAACTTTTATCCTGCAGCTATTCCAATGAAGGTTTTAAAAAATTTAATTCTGTACACACACACGCACACACACACCCCTACTGCTCCAAATCATTAAGTAGGCGATATAGTTGCTAAAAATGTATGTACTAAAAATGACCAAATTATAAGTTTTGGATTAGACATTTAATTCAATACTATACTACTTAGAATTACTAACTTTTAAACTATTTTTACTTTTGGTAATTTTTAATGATGATATCCAATCATTGCTGGAGTCTTTTCAGTTATGACAGTGGTTGTTAAAAGGCTAACACAAACATTAATACTAATACTAGCATCTGTGCCCTTTGGAATAGATATCATGAGTAGATATTCCATACTTTGTATGAATTAGCTGCTTACTTATCACAGTAAGTCTGTAGACTAAGAATTATTGTTGAATATTATTTTGTTTTATTTAATAAACTTAGGCTTAGAGACCTTACACGACATTACTAAAGTCGACATCTTGTTAGCAGCCAAGGTCGGACTAACCCAAATCTGAGTCCTAAACCCATGCTCATTCCACTTTGCTCCTCTGATTCTTGAAACATGAGTGGAATATCAAAATCCTAATGCAGAAATTACCCCTTTGGTTTCCTTGTTTGTAATATAGCTTGTGTATACAGAATGTAATGTAATGTTGATAATGTCTGCTGAGAGATTGTTTAAACACATTATGGCATGTATTATTGCTTATTTTATTGTTTATGGACAGGAGTAACCTGCTCTCAAAGAAGGCTGCCCAAGTAGAGGCTTCATCTTACTGAATGAAAAATTCAAATAAATTTATTTCAATCAGAACAATGATTCCATTGGGAATTCATTGGTATCTTTCCTTAAGAGAGTTTTGTTGGTTTTTTTTTTGCTATTCCAGTGTCTACACAGAACTAAGATAAACATTTCAGAAAAAAATAAAAATACAAAAGAAATAGACCATTTGCTTTATAACCAGTCTGAAAGATTTTGGAAAATTCTTTTGGCTCTTTTGGCACTATGTAGACACTTCTCTAAAACACTATAAAAACTTTGACTAGATATTGGCTGAAGCGCAGGAGGAGATTCATGTACCTCCAAACACTGGGGTTTCTGATGAACCAGCCCTCTGAGGTCCCAAAGCAGAATCCATACACCTTATCCTCAGTCAGGTCGGCCAATAACACTTCCTGCTCTGATGGGTACATTCTAGGTCTGTGCTTTTCAGTGGTCAGCATCAGCACGGTGGCTCTCATGCACTTGAAATGTGATCACCCAACTGAACAAAAACGTTTTATTGTGTTTCTCTTTAAATAACTTAAATAACCACCAGTGTCTGTGGCTACTGCATTGGACAGCACATTCTAGAAGTTAGTATAACTTAATAAGTAAGGATTGCATTCTTAGCCCACATTGGAGATAATTCCCATAATTTTAGCATTGATGCTGAACTGAGACAAACTCAACTTAAAAAATAAAATAAATAAGACAAAGATGCAACAATGTCATTTAAAATATCCTATAGATGATGTCACACATACGAATTAGAAATCATAGAGAGCATTTATATTTTCAACCTCAGTCCACAGCCTTGCAAAACTTATGTGCATAGGAAAATAGTGAAAAATTCAATTAATGAAAACAGAGAAGGCTGTTCGCATGCTAGGAAGCATTGTAATTTTCTGCTGAAAACCAAGTATAGCTCAAATTAACTCCAATATCTGGACTTTGGTAATGGGGACAAAGGGATCGTTGGCTGAATTCAAGCTATCTGGTTAAACACAAAAATACAGACCATGCACTTGAAAACATAATGTATCTCTTCAGTGGGGATATTCTGTGCACTAATTTCTGAGGGAGGGTATCTGAGAGAAAAGTCAAGTTTATGGTGTGAACTACATAGTAAATAATGGAACAGAAATATCCTCTTATTCATTGTTGCTGCAAACACTTGGTCACAATGTATTTCAATCTTCAGTGTTTTCATTTTTAACAGCTCTGCTCCATCATTGCAGTTTGCCATCTGGTGCATGCACGCTTCTACTCATCTAACTCCACACTACAGCTCCTTGTCTACATAAAAACAAACTTGCTTGTTGGCTTCTATGGCTCTCTATGTTACAACTGCCCCAGTACTGCCTTATTTTCCTCAAGGAGTTGAATTTTCCTCTTGGGTGGCTTCTTCAGTTATATTCCATTATTTGAAAGAAAAAAAGCCTTCTGTATGGGACCAACAATTAGTCAACCTTCTCAAAATTTTAATGTTATTCATGTGATGCTGACATATTAAAGCTTGGGCCAATGTTTGCTGGTCTCTACCTCAGACTGAAAAACAGCAAGCTCAGAAGACAGAAGGACATAACTCAGCTACTTGTTGAATTTTTTTTTATACAAATGAGATTTCTGTCACTAGGGGTTCAGAAAAGCCTGATCTCATTTGGAGGGCTTCAGATGATTTCTCCTCAATAAACCTTTCTAATAAGAAAGGCATATCAAAACTCTTTCTCTCATCTGGCTTCTGAATTTGGCATCTTTCCATGTATCTTCTACTGCTGACTAGCAATATGTATATTCATGGTGAACTTGAAGATGCCAGGTAAATAGGAGGGCACACTTGTGCTTGGGCCATGGGTTATTGCTGGCCATTACAATCCTTTTCAAGCTAGATGGATTCTCTTAAGCGAGAGGCATCATGGCTCTACTGGGATAGGCAGGTAAGATCTTTTGCCTTTCTCACCTGGACTGGTCACAACCAGAAGATTCTCTGTGAATTGCCCTCTGGTTTCATGCTTTCCTTGGTAAAGGATTGCAGTGCATAATGATGAGAGGCCTAAGCTACCTTTGCCCTAATATACCATCCATTTTCTAACCTACTGTCCCCAAACAGTGCAGAGAAACACAACTACCTGAGCTAGATACTGTTTCCTGTGGAAAGTTAGCAGCACCTAGATACGGTAGGCAGGTGAACAGCTAGGGACACAGCCCCTTCTTGGATGTGGGGATATATGACTGGTGAACAATCCTGGGATAAAGGCTGGACATATGCACATGAAAGATGGGATTAAGTTGATGAACACATTTTGTAGGGAAGCACATGTTAGAGTAACAACAATGTATGCCTCCAAGATAAAATATTTAAAATATGTCTATTATGATTCTGCTTTGGTTTGCTACCAGATTTACATTTACTGTAAGGCAATATATATAAGTAAAACTTGTGCTGTTCTCAAAGAAAGCAATCATATAAAGTAGAATTGTCAATATAAGGAAGTACTTGGTTAAGTAAACAAAACCTCAGATTCCTAGAAAATGGATGTGGGAACCGACCTCTATACAAGTAATGATGCCTAGAAAATTCTGGAACACACTCCTGTGCTGTGTTAATTTGTTATGTTTTTGTTTTGTTTTGTTTTGCTTCATTTGTTTGGATCCCTAACATTCTCAACATTCTGCTACTTGTTTCATCCTTCTAGACTAACCACATAGGTTGGTCACCATGATTATGACTAGGCTGAAACAAAAGAAACAGCAGCATGAAGGAAGTAGTACCCTGACCAGCTAGATAAATTATTTCAGGGTTGGTTCCCTCAGCTGTTCCAACTCAAAGAAGTGAAACCCAAACTCCTTAGCCCAAGAGGCACCAGTAATCCCATGTTCAGAGGTACCTGAATTGTGGTGAACTGGTCTATGAAGATTATTGAAGCCCAGGAACAATGGGCATAGTCTCTATGGTCTCTATCGCAGCCTCTTCTCCAAAAAGAAAATGATAATAATAATGAAAAGGAATATTATGTGCAGATTTATTTTATATATACCTATATATTTACTTTTCCTGTAGACTGTATACCACCAGTAAGAAAAAGTGTACAAAAGTCTGTTACTTGGTACACTATCCCACCAACAGTATAGCTTTTGACTGCTTTCCGAAAGGTAAGAAAACAATCTAATTTTTATTTATGTATGTGTTCTTGTCTGCACTGAGAATTAGAAATATTTCCATGAAAACTGTGCATGATTACCTGTAAGTCTATCTATATGAAGAAATGTTCTTCCCAAGATCTGTTTGATAAGCTTAGTGCCAGTGGCTGCAGTTGGCCATGAGCCTGGTTTATGTTCTGGAGAACATGTGTATGGGTGTGTGTATATTTGTTTTTGCCTAAACAACTAGCCAGTCATTACAGAGGATGGCCACTGGTCACTCTGATACATGCTCTACTATAAAACTGTCAATGATTACAAATTATTTTTAAATGCATGTTTTCATATCCTGGCAATGTGGGTTGCTTACAAGGAAAGAAGAAGGAGGATGTTTCACAAATATAATACATATGTTCTAGTTTATTTTTAGTAAATACACTCAAAGAAATGTACTTCTTTCTAGAAATGTATCTATTCAAAAAACATGAATGGCTGGCCCTACCATCATAAGCCTTAGATTTTCTTGTTTCTTTTTCACTCAGGAATTGCTAATAAATACCAAATATCTCAGAGAAAATAGTGAATTATATGATAGGCTACATGAATAAGCTGGCCTAAGGATATAAACAGATAAAACATTTGTGCTTATATATTACTTTGGGATCTCATTAATGAATATATGCTCTAAAACAATATTACCAATAATATTATTTTTATCACCTCCCAATTTCAGCCCAAGCAATATTGTAATACTGTGGAAACAACTGTGGCTTTGGCAAGCATCTTCATTCAGCTAGAGTCAAGGTATTCCAAACTGTGGAAAAATAAATAGTAGAGGACACAGAGTTATTAAAATCAAGTGGTGGCTTTGAATAAAAGATTCTCTTCTGGCTTCCTCTTTACCTCCTATTATATTTATAAAATATCAAGACCTAGCTCTGGTGAGATTATAAGACAGTAAGCTGTAAGGTCATTATCACGAGAGAGGAAAAATATTGCTTAATAATGTGGACTGGTCTTTCTCTTCCCTGTACCAATATCATGGGACTTCTATCAGATCATTGGTCTGTTTCATTCCATCTTCATTTTCGTAATGGTATTCTGAATACAAATAGTATCTTTCTCTTTTTAAAAAAATCCATTTAACACTGTAAGACAGGACAAGAGTATTTTAAAAGAATAATTACATTTCCTGTTGATTTTAGGTGGATGCTAACAACTCAGTCTTTAATTTTGGATATATTGTTCACATAGTTATTTCCTTTTTCATATCAACATGATCTGTCCTAGTTTTTAAATAGGGCATTCTTTTCTACAGTGAATATATAACTGTATTACAGTGAGATTTCAAGTTTTTACAGTACAAATGCTTGTCAAAACATCACAGCTCATTATTTTAATAGTCCTTTTACATGAGACTTCCTGAGAATAAATGAGAAGGAATTTTCCCCAGGTTAAAAAAAATGATAGATTTAATCTCGGTCCATTAAAAATTCTCTTTAGCTCCATTCTAAGTTAATGCCTTTTGGTTTAAAGAAGTATGATGAAAATATTTTAAGTCAATCTTTCAGTTAAAAAGTAGCTTTAAGAGGTGATGTTTAAAAATAAACTAAACTTATTGCTAGGATTGTCCTGCTACAAAAAGTTTGATTACAACAAATCTGAGAGAGTAAGTTGGAAGGTCATATGGGAAAGGGAAAATATGGCCTAATAATGTGGACTGGGCATTCTCTTCCCTATATTACTAGATGGAACATGTATCAAATCATTATTTTATTTCTTTACATCTTTGTTTTTATGATAATATTCTTATCTCAGTTCTGATCAATTTTAAAATGTTTTTAAAAATTATTAATAAATTCCTTATATAGCTACTTTAAAAGTAATTGATAATAGAAGATGGTTTTGTTAAATTTATTCAAATAAAGGATGATTTACCTGTTCAGATTAACACTGAGGCTGTTCAACTTGGAAGACCAGTGAAAGAAGTCACCTTATGTGTGTTTAAATTCATTTTCATGTGATAGCTTCCACAGAGATAAAACTACAGAGAAAATTATAGATTTAAGAGTGAATTTTGTACAACCATGCTAGTAAAATCTCAATTTCAGCTGTTGTGTCCCAACAAAGACACTCTTTATACCACTTACTTGTTAAGATATTGAAGGAAACAATTTCAAATTCAAACATAACAAAAGCTAATATGGAGGGAAAATACAGTCATGTATATCTTCTGATGAAGAGTACACTCCTGTGATGGACATTATAAGCCTGAACTCAGCATAATCAATATTGCCTCCATATTTATCTAAATGTTTATACATTTTATAACTCTAGAAAGTGTTATAAATGTAATGACATTTATTTTTAAATGCAATGAAGAGAAATAATTACATTTGGTATCATCCACAGGTCAGGAAACAGGCTGTTTTCTTAGGAGATAAAGTTTCCCACCAAACAAGATGATCTTCTGACTAAAAACTTTAAGAGTTTAATAATCCAACCTCGTAAATATGGACATAATAACCCTGAGTCATGTTTTGACAGGGTTTTGTTCTGAGCAAGCAGACAGATGAAAATATTGACATCTCACTAATTGATTAAGTGGTATTATAAAAAATTAATCTCTTGTTGCTTGTAATTAATATAATGGATTTTTTGGCACTTATAAGCTTTTTGGAACTCTGCAATGCAAGTTTTTGTATCAAGTTGAGACTTTCTTTAACATTCAGTGTGATCTCTGCTCTAACTGGAGACCACCTCAATTTAAAATCCACTTCAAAACTCTCAGTATAGCTCAGCAAAGTATCTGACCTTTGCCATTGAATCACCTTAGAAATAAATGCAGCCATAAATCTTTCTAGTATATTTCTCTAGACCCAAGAGCCCCATGAAACACCATCATTTCTCTCACCAGGGTTGACATACAACATGTCTTCTAAAACCAATTAATATCTGCCATCCCTGTTCTGCAATTTGAGTTCCACTTAAAGAATGGGATGAAAGTACACATGACCAGTATTTCTACACATTCTTTGCATAGCAGAAATATACACAGCATGCCCTAAAGTCATAAAAACTATGTCACATTTTACACTTAAGCATTGCCTTGTACTAACTACTATGTGGTCAAGATTTATGAACCTTCAGACTACTATTAAGTTGACTCATTCAAAGGAATGGTTGCTGAGCACCTTTCCTCTGAGCCAGCCCTGACCTGAGCAGGAATTGGGTTCAAAGTGGACAATAGCCACAGGGAGCTCAATGTAATGGAAGACTTGAAGGTAGGCAATTATAACTCTGATGGCAGACAGGGCCCTTAGTAGAAATACACGTTTTCTGGCCACCTGTGGCGAACCTCACCCACAATGTTTTCTGTGAGCTGGGCTTATAGGATGATGAACTCTAAGCAATCATACAAGAATGTGGTATGTTCTGGGACTAGAAAGTGGTTTTGTAAGGCTGACATATTAGTGTTGGAGGTAGATATAGTTTCAGAGGATGACACCCAGGAAGCAGGCTGAGAGTAACTGGATTAGGTCTCTTTTGCCTTGTCCCTTTAATAGAAGGGGCTGGCAAATCCTAGGCTCTGAGCCTTCCCTAGAACCTGGTAGGTATAAAATAAGTATTTCTAAGTAAATAAATAGTTATTAATGAGAGAATACTCAATTTACAACCTCAGCAGTTGGAATTGGACTCTTTCAGATAAAGTGTCCAAGGTAACAAAGACACCTTTAAAAAGGTAATTATTTTACCCTGGTGTCACATTTCAAAAATGTGTTGTCATTTTTCTGTACAACTACTAAAACTGATGTCAATGCTAAATCTGCATTTATGTAATTGATATCTTTTTGATGTATTAAACCATGTGTAAAACCAACAAAGTTTTATGTTTATTTCTCTCCTTTCATGCACTATGGATACCTATACCATTTTCTTTCAAAGGGCACGTGAACTTCAAAGATTCTATTGGAAAATAGATCCTTTGCTTTAAATGATTATAGATTACAATCTGATAAAAACCTAAAACAATCTAATAAACGGTTTTGTGATTGAGTACATTTTTTTAGAGGTGGCCATTCAGGACAGATTTTTTCTTTTAGGGTCTAAATAGTATTTGCATCTTAAAAGAAAAAAAATCATGTGTCTTCAACCAAAACCGGTTGGTTAATCTCTGAAAAATCTTTCTTCCATCATTTATTGTGAATAAGCATCTTCCCAGACTCAAGTGATGATAACTCTGGTTTCTGCCTATTAAAGATATATCTGAACTTCGCAGATTGTTTTTTCCTGTACAATGGAGCTTGGATACATTTTAAATTAACTTTCTCTAGGAATTAAAGGTAATCATTACTTTTCTTTATGATCTACATGAATATTCTCATTATTTTTGTTTTCAAGTTGAAGATTAGTTTTGAATTCCCATTATATGTCTGCCCTCTTTCAGGTCTCCTCTGAGGATCTCAGCTTGCTGAAGGAGGACTGAGGAAATGTCTCTGAAATTTGTTCTTGCTGAGCTGACCCCAGCACTTAAAAGAGTGTGACATGAATCACCAGCCCCTCTTTTGGTAAACGATGGTCCCAATATTAGTTATGACCTTGCATGTGCTATCTTTTACTCTGACCAAGAACAAGGAAAACAGGATTGGGACTCTAAGCCTAGCTCTGATACTTAGGGTGACATACACTTTGTTTGCCTCATGGATCAGTCACATTCTCTGAAATCCTCAGATTCCTCTTATATAAGATACAAACTTTCCTTGATGGGAGGCCATGTAGATGGCATAGAACCCATGTATCAGGGCCTCCTTTGCAAAGGCTGTAGATATGAAGGTGTATGTAAGGAGCTTCATAAGTCTGCTTATTTCTGTATTATTTTTTCATTTTGATTGGCTTTGTTCTTTTTGTGTTTGCTGCTACATATTTTATTTGCCATAAACCATTTGAGTTGGAGGGGATGACATCTAAATTGCCAATGAAGTTAGGCAACCTTTTCTCTAGGTTCAAAGGCTCCATTTTTGAGCTTGTCACTCTATCTTTTGAAAAGTCATCAATAGTCTTTCAGCTTAGTAAAATTGAAGAGAGAAAGCTATCAGTCACATAGCAAGGCTTCTATGGGACAGAGATATCATACCGTCTGATATATGAATGCTCCATGTGATTAACTTCAGGCAACACTGGATCTCCTGGCCAGGTGAAAAGCACTTAAATTACAAATAATAATTTGAGGGTATGTCTTGAGCAATAATATAATGAGTGGGACATAGTCTTTAAAACTCTGCTGTGATAACTAACAGACATGATTTCCTTATAAGGGCAGCATACAATAAAATCAGTGAATAGTTTCTCTGAGATTTTTTACTCTTACTTTCAAGTTTGGTTTTATCAAATTTACATAAATATGGAACTCACTTGAAGGGCTAGGCTCATTTATCCCAGTCTTTAAAGACCTACCATTATGCTTTGCAGCAATTAAGTAATAATAATATTAATTATGATTAACATAATCCTACCATGTAATCCCTATTGCTCCAGAATTTATGAAGAACCCCATCATCCTTTGAGGCAGGGATTACTGTCCCCACTTGACTATGAAGAAACTGAGGCTAGGACCATGCAAGAGTTTCTCAGAAGTGCTGCAGTATACCCTATACTCAGGTCTTCTAGACTCAGGTCTCCTGGTCATCCTGAGCTCAGCGAAAATCACTAGTTATCATATACTGATGTTATAAGCTAAGAGCGCCTCTGCTTAACTGGCCAGGTTTGGCGTGGGAACACAGCCAAAGGCAATTAAACTCAGAAGAGGATTCTCTAGCATTAAAAAAAAAGGTACTTCCTTGGACAAAAAATGTGAAAAGTTAATTTTTACCATAGCTTTATCACCTGCTCCTTCTTCCTCTGCTTTTGCAACAGCAAAACCCCAAAAAGAAAGTGACCATGAGGGTCATGATCATCATGTAGCTGAAAATTTGATTAAGCTGGCATCCTAGGGTTAGCATGACAAATGCTAAATTTTAATTCTAGGAACTTAATTCCTTTTTCTCTAGTTTTGGTCATGTTTGCAAATTTCATTTGCAGTTTAATTTGCTGTGGTTCGCCAAAGTCCGGATTGAGACTTGAGCTGTTATTTCTTCTTAGGTAAAAAGGGCAACTGTGTCTGACCATCTTCACTGGCATACAGTCCAGCAGTTGTTCAAGGAAAGTATCCTCCAGAAGCTTTGCAACCCCACTCACCAGTGAATGTAAGAATGAAAGAGACCTGCTCCAACTAATATGATCCCTGAAATGTAACAGCAATGTCATCTCAATGCTCCAAAATAATTGGAGAAAGGACACTAGAGAAGTATTATGATCATGACCACTAGAATCTTGTCTAGGAGTCTAGGAGTTTTGCTTAGAGAAAACACTGATGCCACAAAATGGAGATCCCTGTGGAGACCTTTTGTTATCCATTGTGACATAACCCTGACAATGCCAGTCTTCCTGGGTACCAGATTCTCAGTGCTGCTGGGATAAGTCAGCAGGTAGAGTAGCTTCAATGGAGACTCCTACCCCACTCTCATTTGTAAGACAAGAAAGTAAAATAAGGCCTCAGTATATGACAGTATCATTTATATCAAGTAGGAAAATAAATCATCTTCCTGGGCCTCAGTGTCCTCATCTGCATAATATAGCGTAGTAGTTCTGAGGGCTAAATAATGATAAAGCGCTAAGAACACAGTTTGATGCAGTACCTATGCAAATGTTAACTGTCAGTGTTATTATTTTTGTAACCTTAAATTAATGAATGTTCTGTTTCTCTTTCCTCTAGGAAAGAATTTTGGAGATTCTACTCTTGACAGTTGTCTATTTTATCTCTTATATGTATTATCTTTCTGTACCACACACAATAAAATTTGAGAGTGTCAAGCAATCCATCTGCATGTGATTTTTGTTTGGGAAAACCTGCAGGATTTTCAGATTGAAATATCAATACATCTCTGGTCTGTTTTTCAACCTTTTTAGTATCGATCCTTTCTGGAACTATGGTGCCTTAACTCATTTGATAGTGCAGTGAAATTTTGGCTTTATCTGGGAAATCACATTTAAACACACTTAGTTCTCATTTAATTTCACAACACTGCACATATTTCCTGACTTTAGGCATAAACACATTCAATATGATCATTGTTGTGGTGATCTTTATATTAAATTAGTATGGTGTTACCTGTTTGTAACTCAGATATAAGGAAAAATACCAGTCTGATTTAAAACATCCTACTTGTGGCAGAAAATTTCCCAAGAAGAAATCTTCAGAAATGCATTTAAATTTATATTCGATCTAATTTAAGTCATTTATTCCCCTAAACTGATGCTCGTGAGAAGGTCAACTATATTTAATAAGCTGTTGATTCTCATGCACATACAGGGTAGGGAAAATTTTTCCTTAATTTTGCTTGATAATTAACACACATATTATGACATTGATATGATGGTGATAACTTACACAGGCAAGTATTAAACTGCATATTAAACTAACTTGGTTTTGGAAAAGCACTTGGGATATTGTACAAGTAATATGTACTACAATCCCAGGAAGTCATCTGTAGCTGTCTGCAAGCACTATGGGAAGGTATTTCAGGGTCTTCTTTCAAGAGCCCCTGAAGACAGCTTTTGCAGACTAAGGATGGATCTAGTTGCAGAACTCAGTTCATAGAGCAGAAAAACAGTACTATTATTTGAAGCTGAATTTCCATGAAAACTCCCAATAAGAAGCTAGGTCAATACTTCCTTTTCCCCTGTGCTCAGTGGTCATAGTAACTTTTTTAGGCAAAGTGAATGCATAGATCCTTACACAATCATTTCAGGCAACTCAGTAGAGCAATTCTGAGTTTGTTTATCCCTGAAATCTTCAAGAGATTACTATTTTTAAATTTTCATTTGTGCTTTTCATTCTCTGCCTAACCTTCAGTCAACAATGGCTTTTTTAATTAATTTTATTGGTACATTTAAGGTATACAATATAGTGACATTCATCATTGGAAATTTGCACCTTTACATAATCCATCCTGGTTCTTATTTTTTTCCCATTCCCCTGCCTTCCCTTCAACCCCTCCATTCCTCCCTATTTACAAAGACTTTGTTTCCATTTTTTCATTTTCTCATATTAATTCCATTCCCTTCTGTCTTTTCCCCTACTCCTCCTACTTTCCCTTCCCCTTTGCACCTTTTCTTTCTATTTCACATTATCTATTATATCCTTCTTCACATATTCAGTTTCTCACACAAGTGAAACATTCACATGTGTGTCCTATTTATTTCACTTAAGAGTATTGCCTCAATGTGCATCCATTTAGCTATACATGTCTCTAGTTTCTCATTCTTTATGGCTTAGTAATACTCTATTTTATTTTTTAACAAGACACATTTTCTTTATCCAGTCTCCAGTTGATGGGCAATTGAGTTGTTTCCAAGTTTTAGCTATCACAAATTGTGCTGCTATGAACATGGGTGCACATATCTCACTGTGGTATGATTCTTTTAATTCTTTGGGGAAGATACCCAGCAGGGGAATAGCTGGGTCAAATGGGACTTCCACTCCTAGTTCTTTGAGATATCTCCATACTGATTTCCACAGTGGCTACCCCAGTCTACACTCCCACCAGTAGTGGAGCAGGGTTCCTCTTTCCCCACAGCCCCACTAGCATTTGTTGTTGGTTGATTTCATGATAGCAGTCATTCTTTCTGGAGGGAGGTGCCATCTCAGCATAGTTTTCATTTGCATCTCTTGAATGACCAGTGAGGTTGAACATTTTTTCATGGTTATTTGCTATTTCTACTTCGTTGAGAAATGTCTGTTCATTTCAGATGCCCATTTTTGGATTGAGAGGTCTGATTTTTTTAAGTTCTTTATAGATTCTAGACAGTAAACCTTTGTCTGAGGGACAGACACATTGTGGGTTGTCTCTTCACACTGGGTCAACAATGTTTTTAATAAATGAGTTTTGACATTACAGAGAGGCTGCAAAGTGCTCTGGATGACTAAGGGTAGTATCGCCATGCTCCTGGATGTTAACTCCAGCTTTGCCATACTCTTTGACTGTAACACAGGCTCCCTCTCTGGGCATCCATTTCCTCATCTTCAAACTGGGTATAATGTCAGTAACTGCTTCATAGAGTAATTAATGAGATTGACACATTCATGACAAAGCCTTAATTCATATGTCTCGCTGTTGGGAAGCTTGAACCACTGGTGATACAAGCATGACTGTCCCATCAGGTGGCTTTTGATTAATTTTATTAATAAAAAGGCTGGTAAAAGTGATTAGATCCATTTGTAGTACCAGTACTATAAGCCACCAAATGGGACAGTCATGCATGAACTTCCAGTAGTTCTAGCTGGCAGGAATGTGTTAAATAAGTTAACCCATATAAAATGTTAAACCCAGCATTTGGCATGTAGTATCAGGCTAAATAATTTCCCATTAACTCATCTTAATGATTGTGACCAACTCAGTTATACCTGTCATTTTATATGTCAGTCAGTAGCCACATACAGCTATTTAAATTTAATTAGAATTAATAAGAAATTCAACATTTTGATCCTCAGTTATACAGCTATATTTCAAGTGATCAATAAGCACCATAGCTAGCAATTGCCAAATTGAAGAACAAAAATGCAGAACATTCGTATCACCACATAAAATTCTTTTGGAGAGCACTAAGCCATAGATTTGAGAAAAAAGAATTAAGAAATTCCCTTAAAGAAAAGATACTTTTTTTTTTTTTTTTTTTTTTTGGTACCAGGGATCGAACTTGGGTCCTTGTGCCTGCGCAGCAGGCGGCGAAACCACTGAGCTAAATCCCCCGCCAGGAAAAGATACATTTCAATCTTCACTCTCTCTATTGCTTATGAGAATGGTCTGGTTCTGACAGTGTTGGGGTCTACTTTTTTTTTCAAGGCCTTAATAGTTCTTTTTGTTGTTTGAGGTGGGGATTATCATTACCTATTTGCAGTACATAATTATTACATTCCTTATAGGGAGCTAGTACATATAAATAACACATCTTAATTCTTGTTTCATCCCCTTCCATTTCCCATCTGCCTTCCCTCTTCCCTCCATCTTGTGATTCCCTTCCCATTATCTATCTTTTATGTTACTCTTTAGTTATGGTGTGTTTCTCACATAAGAGAAACCATGTGATATTTAAGCTTATGTCTGATTTATTTCACTTAATATTATGGTGTCAAAGCGTAAACATTTTCCTACAAATGACTCAAATTTATCCTTTTTTATGCCAGAATAGTACTCCATTGTGTACAAATCCATTTTTTTAATCCATCTGTTGATGAACATAAAGGCTGCTTCCAAGATCTAGATATTATGAATTGTGCTGCTATAAATATGGGTATGCATGTATCACTGTAATATGATGCCTTTAACTCTTTTGGGAAGATACCTAGGAAGGGAAATATATGGAACATTATAACATATAAATGGAACATTAGCAAAAAGTGGTTTACATTGTGGAGTAAACAATATATTCTGTGAGGTAACAACAGCCAAATGTTGGCCAGAAATGGTTTTGTCTCTGATGGGAAGATTTTTCCAGTTCCTTTCATAAGCTGCTTACAGTGCTCTGTATTTATTGATTCTACAAGTGAGCATAATTCTTGTAGAAGAAAGGTAGGATTTTTTTCAATTAACATCCAAATGGCAGCAGTGCGAATATTTCCTTGCTGTGCCACTGTCTGTCAGCAACAGAAAAGCCAAATTAAACATTCAAGGATATGAAATGGACTTTCATGTAACTTTAAAGTATTTCTAAACACTTTTCACATGTGATTGGCCAATTTTGTGATCTGGTGTTGGCTCAAAATGTTTGGCCCTTTTCCTCAGAAGGGAAATCAACGTATTTTATTTATTGTATGTATGGGTCATCCCTATCATCATCTGCTAAGGGTTTTGTTACTGCTTAAGAACAAGTGAAAATACAGAAAAAAGGGCTGCAGATGTAGCTTCAGCAGCACAGCTCCTGCCGGGCAAGTACAAGGTCCTGCGTTTGATCCCCGGAACCAAAAACAAACAAACAAACAAAAAACTATATATATATACACACACACACACACACACACACACACACATACAGAAAAAGGGCAGAAGATGGCTATCAATTCCAACAAACAAGTTTTATCAATAGTTATTGATGATATACCTTAGCCAAAAGAGTCCCTGCCATTAATTATTATATAATGGGAGAATTGTAAACCTCTAAAGGAAAGCTAGGAATAAGAACAAGAGCAAGATACTTAATCCCAGAACAGTTCTGTTAAACTGGTTGAATATATTACTGAGAAGGAGAAATCTTTCCCAGTATCTTAGATGTGTCCCACTCAGAACCCAAGTTGGCAAAGGGACAAATAACTGAGAAGAAGGAAGAACTCATTTTTTCTGTGAACTTGCATATAAGTTATGCATTTTCATTAAGCAAAAAATTGATTATATCAATCACTAAATCTTGTCAATAAAACAAAACCAATGAATCTATCCAAGTTCTATCATCAACTAACTGTTACAGTTACTTGTCTTTGTATGGCATTTCATAGTTTAATTACTGAATTATACACAAGGCATCTCTTTTCATCTTCAAGGCATCTTCCTGAGATAAGCAGCATTTTCCTCCTTTATAACTAAGACTCTGGAAGGTTAAAAAAATCATTCAAGGATATACTGGAAGAAGTGGTTAGAACTCATTCTGACCCCATTATACCACAGCATCTCTTGATTAGAGAGCTGCGATATCTTTGCACTGACAAGTTAATTTTAAGCCAAGGAGAAACCAACAACAACAAACTCTTCATCACAGGCGATTCAGATTTGCAGTGGACTTGGACACAATATTTTGTTTTCCTCTACCTATA